ATATAAGCCGGCCTGCAAGCCGGCTCAAGTTGTCTTGTTCTGTGCTAATAAAGTACGCTAAGCTGAAATCACTTGACCATCTGCGTACTTTTCACTTATGTACATAGATTCCATGTTCATGGGCCAGAAGATGCACATAAGCAATGCACTATCAGTGTGCATTATGCTACACCTAGAGAGCTGCTATCTCGTTACTATGAACCCAGGAAACATCACTCCACAGCATGAAGAATGAGAAGATAATAGGATCACAACAGCTAATATACCATTCCCCATGTACTGTAGAGAGGACGGAGGCTCCCACTATCAAACAGCTATAAAAACATGAGATCATTCAATGAATGTCAAAAATAATGAGTTATGCGGATGTAAATGAAGGCACACACCTGTTAAGTTAGCAACGGTTTATTGACTCTTTGTAAAGACAATTATACATCGATGTGATTTCCCCCCCCATGTTACATCATTTTTATTATGTTATGTAAGAATGAAACATACCGGCGAGCAGCCTAGGTCTTTCCACCCACGTTAGCCATAAAAGCATGTAATAAAGATAACTCGAAGGCTTGGTTTTAAATACTCGGAGAGCCGGTGTGGCATACAGGCCAAGAGTAGGTTGAATCATGGAATTACAGAGTCATCTAGTCCAACCTCTCGCACAGTGCAGGTAATTCCCAAATACCTCCCCACATAGCCCTAGTGACCCCTGCTCCATGCCCAGAAGATGACCAAAAAACCACACTCCAGGACTCCAGGCCAAACTGGCCTGGAGAAAAATTGCTTCCTGACCCCGAAGTGGCCTCTAGCATTTCCCTGGGCGCGTAAGAAACGGCCACGAGAACTAAGCACTGAGGCAACCCTTCCTGTCCGCCCTCTCATGATCTGCCTCAGTTCACAGAATCCGCATGGCTGTCAGACGGCCATCTAGCCTCTGCTTAAAGACCTCCAAAGGAGGAGAGCCCACCACCTCCCGAGGAAGCCTGTTCCACTGAGGAACCGCATTAACTGTCAGGCTTGTTGCCGTAATAAATGCCTGACTGACTGACTGACAGGAAATTCTTTTTAATGTTTAGCCGAAAACTCTTTTGATTTAATTTCAACCCGCTGGTTCTGGTCCGACCTTCTGGGGCAACAGGAAACAATCCTGCATCGCCATCCTCTAGATGACAGCCCTTCAAGAACTTGAAGATGGTGATCATATCACCTCTCAGTCGTCTCCTCTCCAGGCTAAACATACCAGCACCCAGATAATGACCCAGCCCTACCTAGAGATGTAAAATTTCCGGAAATTTTGAAGCTCGGGAAAAAACTCGTTTTTTTTCGGGGGGGAAACCGGAAATTTTTGGAAAAATTGAAAAAAGCGCTACATTTGCATTTATTTTGTCTTTTCTAGATTGAAAGTCATTCTGTTACTTTAGGAACATAAAATATGACTATGGACATTTTCACTTGGCATGAAATTATCACAACTAGCATATTAAAAATATAGTGTATCAAAACAATTATTACCAACAGAATACCCACCCACATGCAAAAACAAAACTGAAACCTTTTAATTTTCTTCAGACAATAGCACCTCCTAAAGGCAGAAATGCATCTTGTTCTTGCATTGGGGAGTTCAGTTTGTAACCTAGGACTTGCTTGTCCTCAGTGCACAGAAATTAGATCAATCTGATACTATATATTTGGATTTGGAAAATATTTGAACACCTTGTCTTAAAATATTTTATTCATCATGTTAAAATAAAACGTTCCATAATCATTTTCTTTTCTTTTTTCAATTTTTCGGAAAAAAACAAAAAAGCTTCAGGAAAAAAAAGGAAAAAAACACATGGTTTCCCCCCGAATTTTTCCATTTTTTCCTTGGGCCTTCACATCTCTACCCCTACCCCATAACTTCCTGAGTAGATATAAATTACCTGCCTACCATTTTTCTTCTCACCTTGACACAGAGAATACGCCATCTTTCTGTGTTTATACCTCTGAGGATGCCAGTCACAGCTGCTGGCGAAACATCAGGTCCTACAATGCCAAGACCACGGCCATACAACCCAGGAAAATCTACAACAGCTAATGATGAACTCCGGCCGGTCTGAACCCTGTTCTCTCGGATCCTAGTTTGACTCTCTAACCCCTGCACTGCACTGGCTCTAAGTGTCAGCAGCCAATAAATCACTGGCAGTAATTGATGATTATTGTACGGCGTGGTGTCTAGAACAGCCAGAAGACTGTCTGGCAGCCACAGGTTTTAGCTCTTTTAGCGTTATGTACCAATAGGTGGCGAGCTAGATGATTTTTTTTTTAAGCCGGGAGACGTTTCAGAGGTGGTTTGCGTCTGCGTCATGACCCTGGTATTCCTTGGAGGTCGCCCTCCCAAATACTAGCCAAGGCACTGACAATAAATCCCGGGAAGGAGGCTCCTGCATTTGCCATGGCAAGAAAGAAGGTCTCTCACTTCAAGTGCCCGCTTCTCTCAGAATACTTCTCAGAATACTTCCAACGTAAGTACCAAACACGTACTAATCAAAGCCTGGACCAAAGGCCCACACGTTCCCCCATTCGGCTTCCTAACTGGCCATTATTTCTAGTTCTCATCAAACCTCCCACCCCCACCCCCTGGTCACTCCAGCAGCTGCACGTAGAGGAGTGGAGGATCAAACCCGGTTCTCCCGGATTAGAGTCCATGCTCCTAACCACGACACCAAACTGGCTCTTCTTGACGGGCAGATGGGAATCACCCGTGGCAAGCCGCCCACCCTTCCTCAGACCAGAAGGAACGTCACGGGAAGTGCCACCATTCCTTTCTCCAAGGGAACTAATCCTGGTCGTCTGGAGCTCAAAAGTAACAGTGGGAGATCTCCAGGCACCACCTGGAGGTTGGCAACCCAAGCTGTAAATAAAGCACCTCCATAAAACAACCCTTTTTAAATGGCTGCGATTCTGGGAAAACGGGCAAACCTGAAGAGCGATGCTCCCTCTAAGCTGTGGAGTCCTGTGAGCAAAAATTCTACTTTGTGAGCTACTGGCATTAAAGTTGTGAGCAAGCAAATTGGCTATTGCATAGATTAGTTTGCTCTGGAGCCATCCTCCCTGAGCTAAGACAAAAAACGTGTGAGCCAGAGGCTAAAAAACTGTGAGCTAACTCACACTAGCTCAACTTAGAGGGAACACTGGAGCAGATTTTGAGTTGTCTCTACCGAAGGAAGCCCGGTTTTTATTTCTTCCGTTGGCTTTGTTATCAACGATCGCAAGGAAAGCTCACAATCGCCGGTCGTTTTGTTGCGTTTTTCTAATTGGGAGGCTTTTGCTGTGTGATGTAATCACCGGTAGATCAAAACCCATTTCCGTAGCTGTATCTTTGGGGGGGGGAGGGAGCTGCGGTGGCTCAAGTGGTTAAGACACTGAACTGCAGGCTGTGGAAGGTCAGTAGTTCAGCAGTTCGAGACCCGGGTGCCGCATGACGGAGTGAACTAGTTCCATCTCTAGTTCCAGCTCCTGCCAACCTAGTTTTTAAAATTATTATTATTTTAAAAAAATATTTGTATTAATTTTTTCATTAAAAAACAAAAAAACAGTAACAATAATATTATGAACAACAACAGAATCCACCATCACAGATAATAATCTTGTAAGATTTGCCAAGACACAACAACATTAAAGGAGCATATTGAAAGTTCTAGAAGGTCCTAATACAATAAAGGAATAAGAATCACGATACCCAATTATGACGTACAAAATTATAATACTGAGAATGTTGTGAAGAACTAACATTTTCCAGAATTTGTCCCAGTTTTTCCAAAACGGAATGCCGTCGTCCGTAGAATGAATCGGATTTATACGAAGAGTCGTTGATGTCAATCCCATCTGAAATTTTGTCCATTAACAGATGATTCCATAAATTAGAATACCAAGCCCGCATACAGAGTGGATCTGTTCGTTCCCAGTTGGTGGCTATAGTCGTTTTTGCAGCCGAAAGCAAAAGGGTAAGTAATCCTTTGCTATATTGTGGTATTGGGATTTCCTTCCAGTAGTTTAAAAGTCTGACTTTTAAGAGAGAAAAGCTGTATCTTTAATGGGTGGCTTGCAAGGGGAAAAACGGATGAGCCGGCGGTTAGTTAGTCCTCGTTCCCGAGTACCTGCTGAGCCGGTTGTTTGGGACTGATGTTATCAGTGGCAGATGTCAGCGACACCCAGAGCTCCTGAGACGGCACGCTTCCCGTCCCTTACAGCGGTGCTTTTACCAACGCAGTAAAAAACCGCGTGAAAACACTTAGCTACCAGCAATTTGGGTAGCTGTGTTGCAACTTGTTGAAAAGCCCTTTGTGGCGTCCTCCGGAATACACCGATGATTCACTTTTCCTCCTCACGTGAAGGCCTGAGGTCACAGGAGGCTGTTGACTCACGCGTTTCGTCGGCGGCCCGGGCTGCTTTGCGTGTGTCGAAGGCACACCACGCTAAGGTGTGTCGCAAACTTCGGCGTTGCTAACTGTGAAACTACTACCGGCTTCGACTTGACGCTGCCCCGATCTGTGGGAACATCCCGACGTAACGTGGAATTGCAAAGTCAGAGGGAGCCTTATGAAGGTCCGCTTCCTATCCTCTTCCTCAGGAACACACTTCCTCCTTGTTGCGTCCCCGCTCCCAGCATCCCCTGGGGCTTTCTCTAATACAAGGTACGGCAAATGCAAACCAACTCCTCCAGGCCTAATGCACACCATGGCTTATGTGTTACTTCCTTTTGTAACCCACCTTCCTCCCCGGTGGGGACCAAGGCAACTTCTGCCATTCTCCTCTCCACCATTTTATCCTCACAATAACCCTGTGAGGTAGCTTAGGCTGAGAGAGTCTGACTGCCCCAAGGTCACCCAGCGAGCTTCCGTGGCATGAGTGGGGATTCGAACCCGAGTCTCCCAGATACTTGTCCAGCCCTCTTAACCACTACAACATGATTGAACCTTGTCGGTATTGCCAACATGGAATATCAGTGCATGGAGGCAACATTGGAGGAAGGTCTCGGATTCTGGGCTGTTTGGTCCTCCAGAGGACCTGGTTGGCCACTGTGTGAGACAGGATGCTGGACTAGATGGACCACTGGTCTGATCCAGCAGGGCACTTCTGATGTTCCTATAAACCTCTGAATCCCAGAGCCAGGAGTCAACACCAGGGGAAGGCCTTGGCCTCTATGCCCTGTTGTTGGCCGTCCAGAGGAACTGGCATGGAGGGACAGGATGCTGGACTAGATGGACCACTGGCCTGATCCAGCAGGGCTCTTCTTATGACCTCGTGAAGGTCTCAGCCTCTCTGCCCTGTTGTTGGCCCTCCAGGGGACCTGGTTGGCCACTGTGTGAGACAGGATGCTGGACTAGATGGACCACTGGCCTGATTCAGCAAGGCACTTCTTATGTTCTTATAAACCTTGGCCTCTATGCCCTGTTGTTGGCCGTCCAGAGGAACTGTTTGGCCACTGTGTGAGACAGGATGATGGACCAGATGGACCACTGGCCTGATCCAGCAGGGCTCTTCTTATGTTCTTATAGATAGATTCACAGAGGACAAGTCTATCAATGGCTACTAGCCCTGGTGACAGAGGGGAACTTCCACATTCCAAAGCACTAAGCCTCTGACAAAAAAAACCAAGAGGCAAAATCAGGGGAAGGCCTTGGCCTCTCTGCCATGTTGTTGGCAGTCCAGAGGAATGGGTTGGCCACTGAGTGAGACAGGATGCTGGACTGAATGGAAAACTGATGTGATCCAGCAGGGCTCTTCTGATGTTTTCTCTGCCCTGTTGTTGGTTGGTTGGTTGTCCAGAGGAACTGGTCAGCCCACTGTGTGAGATATGCTGGACTAGATAGACCACTGCTCTGGTCCAGCAGGGTTCTTCTTATCTGATACATATAAAAGCCCTAACACGTTAGCACTTTCCACCTTTCCTATTGGCTGGGCTGTGCGTTCCATCACCCATCGGCCCATCAACCACCACTCAAGAGTACCTGCGTGCCAGTGGCAGGGTGCTGGGTCTGCTCCTCTCTCCTGCCCACTGTTACCTGACAGAATAAACTGCCAAAACGGCTGTCTCTCCTGACGAAGACACTTCTCCTGCTTTGTTCCTGTGGCGCTAACTTTCCCTCAGTGGCTGTTGCTAGGCAACCCAGCTTGGTTCGGTCAGTAAAAAGGCAAAGGCAGGAGGCCCTTTCTAGGCCTACCAGCTCCAGGTTGGGAAATTCCTGGAGATTTTGTGGTGGAGTCTATGGAAGCCAGAGTTCGGGGAGGGAAGAGGCCTCAGCTGAATAGAATGCCATAGGCTCCACCCTCCAAAGCAGTTATTTCTTCCTAGGGAACCACTGCTGCCAATCTCCAGGTGAGGGCTGGAGATCAATCAGAATTAAAACTCCTCTCCAGATGGCAGAGATCAGTTCCCCTGGAGAAAATGGCTGCTCTGCAGGAAACAAACTGAGGAAAGTCCTTGATGGACAGATGGGACTCACCCATGTCGAGATCCGCTCAGAGCGAGAAAATGGATGCTTTGGAGAGTGGACTCTATAGCATTATCCTCTGCTGAGATGTCTCCCTGCCCCAAATCCCACCCTCCCCAGGACGCACCCCCAAGTCTCCAAGTACTTCCCAACCCAGCGGCGGCAACCCTATTTACATCCCACCTTTCTCCCCAATGGGAACCCAAAATGGCCTCCAATGTTCTCCTCTCTTCTATTCTATCCTCACAACGTCCCTGCTTCCTAGGTTAGGCAGAGAGGGCGAGACTGGCCCAAGGTCTCCCAACAAGCTTCTAGCATTATCCGCTGGGCATGCAGAAGGTCCCAGGTACAATCCCCGGCACCTCCAGATAAATGGAGCAGGCAGGAGGTGATGCGAAGGAGCTCTCTGCCCGAGACCCTGGAGAGCGGCTGCCAGTCTGAGCAGACAACACTGACTTTGGTGGACTAACAGTTGGATCCAGTTGAAGAAGAAGAAATTGGATTTATACCTCGCCCTTCACTACCCAAGGGAGTCTCAGAGCGGCTCACAAACTCCTTTCCCTTCCCCTCCCCACAACAGACACCCTGTGAGGTAAAAGAAGAAGAAGAAGAGATTGGATTTATACCCCACCCTTCACTACCCAAAGGTGTCTCAGAGCGGTTTACAAACTCCTTTCCCTTCCCCTCCCCACAACAGACACCCTGTGAGGTAAAAGAAGAAGAAGAGGAGATTGGATTTATACCCCGCCCTTCACTACCCAAGGGTGTCTCAGAGCGGTTTACAAACTCCTTTCCCTTCCCCTCCCCACAACAGACACCCTGTGAGGTAAGAGAAGAAGAAGAGATTGGATTTATACCCCACCCTTCACTACCCAAAGGTGTCTCAGAGCGGCTTACAAACTCTGTTTCCCTTCCCCTCCCCACAACAGACACCCTGTGAGGTAAAAGAAGAAGAGATTGGATTTATACCCCACCCTTCACTACCCAAAGGTGTCTCAGAGCAGCTTACAAACTCCGTTTCCCTTCCCCTCCCCACAACA